GCTCGGTGGAGTCCGAGTACATGGCACTCTTCCGTGCCGTACGGGAGATTGTGTGGCAGCGGCGTTTGTTGGCTGAATTGGGGGAGGACCAGCAAGGACCTACCCCACTGTACTGTGACAGCCAGGGTGCCATTGCTCTTGCTAAGAACCCTGTGTTGCATGGACTCACGAAGCACATGAGGGTGAAGTGGCATTGGACAAGGAGCATGGTAACCGCGGGTGAAGTTGAGTTGCGCTACGTGAAGACCACGGGGCAGCCGGCTGACATGATGACCAAGAGGCTGGTGGAGCAGCAGCATTGGAAGTGTTGCAAGCTGGCTGGGATGGCTCTGAACTGAGAGAGCAACATATCCTAAGGCCAACAATCCGAGGGGGAGTTTGTTGGTGCAACCCTACGGTTTGCACTCGGCTTGTTGTCCGTGTGCGTACATGTGTGTGTGTATGGAATGGTATGAGGGCATGGGATAATATATATTTCATGCTTATAATTGTGTGTGAATGTTGAGTCATGATGTCGAGTGTGTGTGTCGAGTCAATTGCGAGTTATCGCTAGACGCGTGTTACGCGGTCGTTTGTGTCTCGCGCGCGGTTTCTATTTTGTCGTGCGCGGTTTCTATTTTGTCCTGTGTCGAACGTTCGGTGTGTCGCAGGTGTGTGCAGCAGACCCATCAAGAACTCAAGGATGAGTTTGTGATGAAGAGCCCGAGCCTTGGTGTCAAGCCTCAAGTGATTTCGAAGCTCGCCAAAAGGGTACACCTCAAGATATTGAAGATAGTTACATTACTTTGTGTAGTGTAACATTTCACTTGGTGTAGGCCCTAGTGAAGGGTAGTTTCGAGACCCTTCGTGGTTGGGGACAGTGTGGCACTGTTCCACATCACTGTACCTCGGCTCTTGGGGTTTGTAGGAGCTGGGAGTCATTCCCAACTCGTAACTCTTCATATCTCTTCCTATCTTGTGTTCTAAGACTATAGTGGCTGCCATAGTGCCGTTCGTTCAAACCGACACTGTGTCGTCAATACTTGGTGAAATCGTGCGATCTAAATTGCCTATTGTAGGCGACGTTAAGACGCTCCAGATCCAAGTTGAATCAGGTCATTTGAAGTTGTGACCAGAACGCTATGAACGTTTGAAGCCGCTGTGCAGAAATCCGACTCTGCACTCTATCTTTCGGTTTAGGCACATTGGAGCCTATTGTGACTATAACAGTGATGTACATGGGGGGGGCGGTTCTTGGCGCGAAACTCGGAGGGAAGTGCGGCGCTGTAGCGGGTGTGACTAGTGCGGAGGTGGGTGATGAGGTCAGCGACTGTGGCAAACGCGGCTAGGTCAGGGAACAAGTACGTCAGCATGAGGCGGCTGAGGGCAGCAGAGGCAGGGGAGGAGTAGCGTGCGACAACAGCATCATACAGAGACTTAGCAGTCGTGTACTAGCCTCAGCAGGCGGCAGGTGACTACGAACAGCAAGGCGAGCAACAGCGTCACGAGTAGTCCACTGCGAGCGAACTGTACTGTCAGCGTCGGCAGCAGGTGCAACAGAGGCACTGGACGTGTGATCAAATAGCGAGACTCCGTCCCTGGAGTCGCACTGAAGATAGAGCTGCAAGTCATCTACCCAGACCTCAAAATCGACCGCACGGCCCTCAGCGTCGAAGGTAAGCACAGTAGGACTAGCCATGGCGGCAGTAGCAGCAGGGCAGGACGGCGCGGCACGGCAGGGCAGCGCGGCTCGGCAGGGCGGCGCGGCACAGCAGGGCGGCGCAACTCTGCTCGGCAGGGCGTTGCGGCTCGGCAGGGCGGCGCGGCTCGGCAGGGCGGCGCGGCTCAGCTAGGCGGTGCGGCGCGGCAGGCAGGCAGGCGCAGCAGCGCGCTTGGCAGGGCGGGCGCTTACCAGGGGCGGGTGCAGGGCAGGGCCGCGACCGGCGGGTAGGGCAGGGCCGGTACAGGGCGGCAGCTGGGCAGGGCCGCTACGAGGCGGCGGTAGAGGAGGGCCGCGACGGGGCGGCTGCAGGGCAGGGCCACGACGGGGTGGCTGTAGGGCAGGGCCGCGTCTGGGCGGCTGCAGGGCAGGGCCGCGACGGGGCGGCTGCAGGGCAGGGCCGCGACGGGGCGGCTGTGGGGCAGGGCCGCGACGGGGCGGCTGAAGGGCAGGGCCGTGACGGGGCGGCTGTAGGGCAGGGCCGCGACTGTGCGGATGCAGGGCAGGGCCGCGACGAGGCGGCGTAAGGGCAGGGCCCCGACGGGGCGGCAGCACGGTAGGGCCGCGACGAGCGGCAGCAAGGCAGGGCCGCGACGGGGCGGCTGAAGGGCAGGGCCGCGACGGGGCGGCTGTAGGGCAGGGCCGCGACTGGGCGGATGCAGGGCAGGGCCGCAACGAGGCGGCGTAAGGGCAGGGCCACGACGGGGCTGCAGCAGGGTAGGGCCGCGACGATCGGCAGCAAGGCAGGGCCGCGACGGGCGGCGGGGCCAGGCCGCAGTGGGTGGCTAGGGCAGGGCCGCGACTGGGCGGATGCAGGGCAGGGCCGCGACGAGGCGGCGTAAGGGCAGGGCCGCGACGGGGCGGCAGCACGGTAGGGCCGCGACGAGCGGCAGCAAGGCAGGGCCGCGACGGGGCGGCTGAAGGGCAGGGCCGCGACGGGGCGGCTGTAGGGCAGGGCCGCGACTGGGCGGATGCAGGGCAGGGCCGCAATGAGGCGGCGTAAGGGCAGGGCCGCGACGGGGCTGCAGCAGGGTAGGGCCGCGACGATCGGCAGCAAGGCAGGGCCGCGACGGGTGGCGGGGACAGGCCGCGGTCGGCGGCTAGGTCAGGGCCGCGATGGGCTGCGAAAGGGCAGGGCCGCGACGGGCCGTTAGGGCAGGGCCGCTACGGGCCAGGAGGGCAGGGCCGCTACGGGCGGCAGTAAGGAAGGGCGCGCGACGGCGCGTCTGAGGCAGGCGCGAAGCGCGCTTCGGGCAGGGCAGGAAAAAAAATTATCGTGGTGGGCCCTAAAAAAACCGTTCCCACTAGGGAACCTGCTCTGAAACCATGTCAGAATTAGGAACGAAGAATGACTAGAAACACAGCAGTACAAGGTTTGTATATGCAAAACCTAATTGGGCTGTACCCCTTAAGGAGTGCCCCACTACAGCCTAGAGCATAGTTCTGACATCACCTGCCCCACTGCCCAACTTCACGCCATCCTACTTGCCCAAACCAACCCACTGTTAACAGGCCTATTCACCCACGGATTCAGTACCGACCCATTCTTCACGACCAGAAATTCACAGCAAGTGGCAGAAGCAAAGGGAGTCTATTACGTAAAAACAGGCACCAACCGCATTTGGGTACCCGCGTCTTCACTACTAAGGGAACTGCTACTTCAGGAGGCACACGACGGAGTTTCCTCGGGTCATTTCGGGGTAGAAAAAACGAGTTAGCAACTGGAGCGGTACTACTACCGGCCGAGCTGTTGACCGATGTAAAGCACCACGTGGGATCGTGTTCTACATGTCAAGTGATGAAGAGCTCGCGAAAAAGAAAGGCGGGTCAGTTGCAGCCGATTCCACCGCCCGAGCGCGCCTGACAGTAGGTTACCATGGATTTCGTCACGGGGTTACCTTCGAACCCTGGGGGTAACGACGCGGTTATGGTCGTCGTTGACAGACTGACGAAAATGACTCACTTCGCTGCGTGGAGGAAATCGATCTCAGCCGAAGAAACCGCTCGCCTGTTCATCGCGACCGTCGTTCGACTGCACGGAATACTAGCCGCGATGATCAGCGACCGCGACACGAAGTTTACCAACAACTTCTGGAAGAGCCTTTAAAAGCAGTTTCAGCTCGTCGTACCACCCCGAGACCGACGGTCAAACGGAGCGCACGAATCAAACCATGGAGCAGCGGATTCGTGCCACGTGCGACGACCCAACAACATGGGAGCAGCAGCTGCCGCTGGTCGAGTTCGCCTACAACAACGCCACGTCAGCGACGACACAGGAGTCCCCGTTTTACCTGAATTACGTGCAAAATCCAAAAATGCCCATGACTCCGAGTCCGGACAACCCAACGCCACGCGCACAGCAATTCGCCGAGACTCTGCAAGCTGCCCGCACCAGAGCCGCAGAAACGATTAAAAAAAAGGCAAATGTCATCGCTAAGAGAAACGCTGACCGCCACCGCCGCCCAGTCACGTATCAGTCAGGAGACTACGTACCGCTCGACACACAGAAATTAATACTGCCCGTCGTACCGAAACTTTGACCGCGATACTGTGGACCGTTCCAAATAAGCCACATGATCACCCCAGTTACCGCCCATTTACTGCTGCCGACAGATTGGTACATCAGCCTTTCGTTCCACGTCAGCCTGCTTCGCCCGTACATCCCGACCAGGCCAAATTTTATTAGTGTAAATCACCCTGATACCCTGATAATCAGGGTGGTTTTTTATAGTGACACTGATGGCCTAGGGTAGTTTTTTTGGGTGATAGGTTTACCCTGATGTGCCAGAGTTTTTGTGTAAGGCACACTGATGCCTAAGAGTTCCCGATTCCCGTAACGGCTTTTACCCTGTACCGAGTACCCTTCCCCCCCCCACCCCCTAGTACACCCATCCCCCCTTTCCCGTAACCTGGGATTCCCGAGAGGCAAGTGTCGAAGCCCGAATTTCGGCCTTTACCACTTATGTGATGGCACACAGTGGGCCACCATTGGCCAATATTACAGTTTCTTTGTAGGCAGCGCCACCGACCCAACTCAGAATGTTTGTCTGGCATGCCAACATGGCCGGGTTAGCTGGAAACATGGCTCACTGCAGCAGAAAGTCGGTGCCCACGAGCCCACTGGGCACCGTGGTCCTTGCACGACTGTGGCTGGCTCTGCAGTTCATTTGCGTGCACGGTAGGAAACAGAGACGAGAAAGGGTTGGGGGTATGAACACGTTTGGGGTTTCACATTGCAAGAGCAGAGAACACACGCACAGTTAGGCTACGTAGGCCTTCCTTCCGTGCAACAAGAGGAGCCATGGCTCCAGCAGAGACTGACGATGGTGAGGCTGCTGACGAGCCACCGTCTGATCCGCCCGCGCGGACACGCCTCGATTTTCTGCGAGCGCTGCATGCGAACCCTCCGCCTGTAGGCACTGCACGCCCGTCTGCTTGCAGCAACGAGAAAGAGCCCGTTGCAACGCCGTCTGCCTCTAATCCGGTCACGCCAGACAGTGCTCCCGCCACTGTCAGCGTCACAGAGGTGGGTGAGTCATCGTCTGCAGCCTCGAAGAAGCGGCCGCGCTTCGCGCAAGGCGTCCTACCGTTCGGCACACCCCCTGCGAAACCGACTCCGCCTCCCGCTCCTGTCCAAGCTCCGAAGCGTGCGTCCCATGAACTCACCGACGCTGAGAAGGTTGAGGAGAAATTTCTAAAGGCGCAGCAGCTTTACATCACGCAGTGGCTGCCGAGGTTTGAGTGGCTCCTGCTTGACATGAACGAGGAGGGCCTGCCCATTCTGCGATGCAGCATTTGCGTGGAGCATGGGAAAGACGACGCAAAGTTCAGACGGAACGGAACGGGGGGACGCAGTCTGCAGCTCGGATCGATGCGCAGTCACGAGCTGAGTGGCCGCCACGACGAAGCCATGAAACGGCACCGGACGCTCATGGCGGAGATCGAGAAGCAGAAGCGGCTCGACGATTTCGCCATCACCGACAAGGAGGGAGCGCGGCTTACACGTCTCATGCGCGGCGTGGAGTTTATCTGCGACCATGACGCGCCGATCACGATGTTCCCGAAGCTAATAGGCTTCCTTGCAGAGGAGGGCGTGGAGGACATACCGCTCTAGTCCTACGGCGTTTACATCACGCAGTAAGTGTATGGATGTAAGGGTTGAACGCATTGGCTGCATGTTATGTTGTTACAATTCCTTAGAAGTTCAACACCTTCCCCTCGCCTTGTCGTAGGTACGGATTCAACGAGATGGCGTCGGCGATGGCAAAGTTCCAGAAATCGCAGCAGCTGCAGCATCTGCTCGCTTCACCTTTCGTCGGTCTGACATGCGACGAGAGCACGGATCGCGCTCGTGGCAAACACTTGATTGTGTTTGCCACGTTCCTCAAGCACAGCGTGTCCGTCATGGAATTTCTAGCGCTGCTGACGGTACACAAATGCGATGCGTCCTCTCTTTTCGCAGTGCTCACAAGCCACCTGGAGTCGATTGGCGTGGACATCAAGCGGGTGTCCGGCATCGGTACCGACGGAGCTTCTGTGATGACGGGGGAGAAGAACGGCTTGGCTACCCGCTTGCAAGAGCGCGTGCCGCATCTCGTCGGATGTCACTGCGTAGCGCATCGGTAAGCTCTGATTTAATGACTGTGAATTTATCCTAACGCGATGATGTAACATCACCTCTTACTGCGATACTAATCTTCCTTCTAAGTGTGCTGCAGTGAAGCCTTGGTGGTCAAGGATGCTGCGAAAGCTTTCCCCGACCTTAACATGATCGATGCTGCTGTGCGTGCTGTGGGGGGAATCATCTGCCGTTCCAACATTTGGTACGAGAGGTTCAAGGAGCTGCAACAAGAGATACATAAGACAAACCTCGAACACCAAGGACTGTTCAACGTCAGATGGTTATCGCGGGGAGACGCTATAGCGCGGCTATGCAGAGTGTTCGGGGCGGCAATCGTCATGATTGTGGAATACGGGCATAAGATTTCTGCAATAGTGCAAAGGTTCAAATTCCATTTCTCTCTGTATTTTCTCGCAGGTATTCTTGCCGTGCTTAACTCCCTCAACCGCTTCTTCCAGCAACGCAAGGCAAGTGTGTTTGCGTACATGTTTAAGTTTGGTAACGCCAAAACTTTTTGTGTCTGACCTCTGTGACGTGCTTGGTGTGTGGCAGGTGGACATCACACAAGTGGCCAAGGAAGTCGACCACACGATCACCATCGTCACGCACCGGTACATCGAGTATGGCGAGACATTTGGCAGCGGGGTCAGCAAGCTGTTGTCCAAGTTCATCAAGGAGCACGGAGGCGACAACAGGACGATGGTGGTTGAAGGGATTGACGCGGAGGGGCGGCAGACATCACACAAGTTCGAGCTCAGCGAGACACCTATCAAGAAACACAAGTTTGGGGGCACGCTTGTGTTAGAGTAGGGATCATTCAACTATCATTTAGCCTACCTAAACTATAATATATAAACATATGTTTGACACACCCCCATAGGCAAAGTAGGGAGAGCAAGGGGTCACAAGACCAGTCAAGAAAGGCAAAGCAAGCTCAAGGTGGATCACAACGTCACCACACTCACTGAGCACAAGCAAAGGGCCACAAGGCCAGTTCACATGCAGAGGCATATATGTAACACAAACATCACAGTGATCTCTACCTAGCAAAGCAAGCATGCAGGTATATATATATAGATCACAGTACAAGCAAGGCCTACAGCAAGTGAGGAAAACTGGGCACAAGCCCTAGCATAGTGCAGAAACGCTGATGATCACCAGCCTGAAGTGCCTTGGTGAATATATCAGCAGTGTTGGCCCGAGTGGCCACGTAACGCAGACGAAGCTGACCACGCTGCTGCAACTCTCGAGCCAGAAAGTAACGCAGAGCGATGTGCTTCGTTCTGTGCTCCAGTCTGTGCTCCTCACACAAGGCAATGGTAGCCTTGTTGTCGACGTACAGCACTGGAGGAGAACGAGGCCGCTCTCCCAAGTCAGTCAGCAGGTAGGTGAGCCAACGTAACTCCTGTGCAGCCATGGCTGTGGCGTAGATCTCAGCCTCACAACTGGAGCTGAGAACTGAAGACGAGCGTGTAGAACGCCACGAAACTGAACCAGAGCCAAGGCTGAAGGTGTAACCCTGTGACGACCGCTGTGTAGCCTGGTCATCAACCCAAGAAGCGTCTGAGTGCCCAGTGAGAACAACTGAGCTCCTCCCTCCAAGCACGAGCCCCATCCTGATGTACTGCACAAGTAGCGCAGTACCCTCTTAGCAGCATCCATGTGCACCTTTCGGTGCCGACCAGGAGCCACGTAGCGAGCCAGAAGGCCAAGAGGGTACGCAAGGTCAGGACGAGTGCAGGTCATCAGGTACATGAGGCAGTTAACTAGCTTTGGGTAAGGATTACTCGGCTCTACGGACTCATCCGAAGGCAGAGCTGAGAGCGAGTGACCTATAGCCAGAAGAGTGGCCTGTGCTGAGGACCAGGTGAAGCCGAAGCGCTGAAGGACCTGCTGCACCATGTGTGACTGAGTCAGTGTGATGGTGCGGCGTGCTCTGTCCCGGGTGATCTGCAAGCCAAGATAGCTTGTCAGCTCACCCAGGTCTGTGCACGTGTGTCTCTTCTGCAGCTCCGACTTCACGTGGGCGAGAGCCTCAGTGTCAGCAGTGGCAAAGACCAAGTCGTCGACGTACACGAGGATGTAGAACAGCGGCAGCGAAGCAAACCCAAGAGCCGCAAGTGTCGTCCTCAGTGTGTCGTGCCACTCACGTGGCGCCTGGCGGAGACCGTAGACCGGCCGCCTGAGGCTCCACTGGGTACCAGGAGGGAACGACCCAGTAAAGCCAGGTGGGCGGCGCAGCCAGATCTCCTCGTGCAGGCTGCCCTGTAAGAAGGCTGTGCTGAAGTCAAGAAAGTGAAGCTCGTAGTCACGCTGCGCGGCAACGTGCAGCAGCACCCGAAGAGTGGTCATCTTCGGGGTGGGGGAGAAGGTCTGGAAGAAGTCTACTCCCTCTCGCTGACTGAAACCTCGAGCAACGTAACGCGCCTTGAAGACAGTCGGAGAACCTGGCGGCCGCTTCACCCTGAAAATCCACATGCCACTGACGATGTTCGCCCCAGGAGGGGGAACCTCGTCGACGTAGGTGCCTGTGGACTTCCAGGATGCCATCTCTGCGTCCATGGCTGTCTGCCACTGAGAGGAGTACTCACCCGCGATCGCCTCAGCGTAAGAGCGCGTGGTCGGGATGTCTGGAGCATCCGGGTCTCCCTCAGGGGCAAGCAGCATGGACACGAGATGAGGCGCAGCGGCTGCAAGACACTCAAGGTCCTCCTGCCTGTCCTCAAGGACGTCCGTGCCAAGAGCACACTCACCCCCGACGGACGGAGGACAGACAGACTCAGACTCAACAACAAGACTAGCGGCGTAGTCTAGACGATAGGCAGCAGCAAAGTCAACAAGCTCAGCAACTAAGGCAGACGTAGTAGCAGACTCAAACGACGGGTCAGTGACAACAGTGGCTAGCAGACGCGTAACAGTAGGGTGCTCAGCACGAAACCGGTCAGACTCGGGGTCCGCAACGACAGGCAGAGAAGACGCAGGAGGGGACGGCAGAGGAACACGCTGTGGAGGAGAGGAAAGACGACGGACTACGAGGTGGGTGTCGTGGACAACCGGCAGACGCGGACGAGGAACACGACGACCGGAACGACCAGAACAGACAGGCGAGACAGGACGCGACGCAGGCTTACGACGCTCAGTAAGACTCCCTAGCTGCTCAGTGTAAGGAGAAGGAGCAGGCAGCGGTGAACCAGGCTGCAACGGAAGACCAGTAGACGAAGGGAGACTAAGAACCTGGCGAAGCACAGAGTCAGGCGGTGGCTGAGACGACGGAGACGGTGGAGCGAAGAACAGGCCCGGCTGTGCAGTGACACCAGCACCAGCAGCTCCAGTACCCCCAGCAGCTCCAGAAACTCCAGCAGCTACAGAACCTCCAGCGCCAGCTCCTCCAGGACCAGCTCCACCAACAGCAGCACCCCCAGAACCGGCACCTCCAGTCCCAGGGTCTCCAGCCGCAGTGCCTCCAGCAGCAGCACCCTCAGACTCAGCACCTCCAGCCCCAGCAACGCCAGTACCTCTAGTACGAGCACCTCCGGGACCAGCACCACTCCCAGCTCCAGTGGCGACAGCAGAAGTACCTCCAGCGGCAGAGCCCCGAGCTCCAGAAGCGCGACCCTGACGGCGACCGTACCAGTCGTGCAGCTGCTGCGAGGTGAGAGGCACACGCGGACGAAGGCGGCTACTCCAAGGAAGCCGCGCAACAGCAGACTCAGAACCCTCGGTGCCAGAACCCGCAGCAGCTCCAGAACCTCCAGCGCCAGCACCCTCAGCAGCTCCAGAACCTCCAGCTCCAGCGCCACCAGCGCCAGTACCTCCAGCAGCTCTAGAACCTCCAGCGCCAGCACCCTCAGCAGCTCCAGAACCTCCAGCTGCAGCGCCCTCAGCAGCTCCAGAACCTCCAGCAGAAACAACTCCAGTGGCAGAGTCACCAGCTCCAGCGCCTCCCGCAGCAGGGCCCCTAGCTCCAGCAGCGCGACCCTGACGGCCAGCGTACCACTCAAGCAGCTGCTGTGGGGAGAGAGGGAGTCGACGAAGGGAGTGCAGCGGCGAGGCACCAGCGGAGTGACTACGGAGACGGCGCTCCTGGGAGACTGCTCACCGGACGCCTCAGTGCCCCCAGGCTCAGCACCCCCAGACTCCTCACACCCAGGCTCAGCACCTACAGTCTCCGCACCCCCAGGCTCCGCACCCCCAGGCTCAGCACCCCCAGGCTCAGCACCCCCAGGCTCAGCACCCCCAGGCTCCGCACCCCCAGGCTCAGCACCACCCTCAGCAGGACCTGGTCACCAGTGACCTCAACCTAAGGAGGAGGGTCTACCTGAGACACACCTGAAGGAGCAGGACCGGGAGCGGGGAGGGGGTCTACCTGGGGAGCACCTGAAGCGAGGAAGAGCGGCGGGGGGGGGAGAGGGGCAGTGCGGTAGGGAAAGAGACGGTAAAAGGGAACCGACTCGTCGAACCTGACGTCCTGAGAGGGGAAGACACGGCGCGAGGTGGGGTGGTAAAACTGCCAACCAGGCGCGTCAGGGACGAAGCCAAGGAAGACACAGGGAACACCGCGGGCGGAGAGCTTGTCCGCAGTGGTATCGCGGACAAAGGCACGAGCACCCCAGACCCGGAAACGCGACGCATCGCCAACCTTCCTCGTCCACAGCAGTGTGGGCGAGGTCTCCAGCAAGGAGACACGGGGCCAGAGGTTGAGCTGATGCGCGGCGTACCGGACCGCAAACGGCCACAGAAAATGGGGGGCAGCCGCATGGATCATGGAGGTACGAGCGACCTCCATGACTAAGCCAATGCGGCGCTCAGCAACCCCATTCTGCTGCGGAGAGGCCGGAAGCGTGAACGACTGGCGGATGCCGTGCTCCGCACAGTAGGCTGCCAAGAGGTCTGAGGAGAACTCACCACCTCTGTCAGAGTGCAGACGCAGGACAGGAAAGTCCGACTGGAACCGCTCGCGGAGCTGGAGACGAGTAGCGCGGATCTAGGGGATCAAAATATCAGGGACCTCCCCCTTGCTGCGCAAGGGGAAGACCGTGGTGTAACGCGTGTAGTCGTCGACGACCAGCAGGAAGTACCGCTCGCGGCCCTGTCCACGGACGCGGGCTGGGCCCCACACGTCCAGGTGGAGAGTCTGCAAGGGAGCTTCTGTGGGAGGGAACGAGGAGGAGTGAGGAGCGGCGCGCTGCCGCCCCTCGACACAGGGAAGACAGGGAGGAGCAGGCGAGGGTGGGAGGGGAGGGAGAACCCTGGGAAGACGAGAGACAAGGACACGGCGGTGCATGCTGCGAAGGCGCTGCACCGAGGGGTGACCAAGGCGGTGGTGCCAAAGGACGGTCTGGTGCGACAAGGCACGACACGAGCAGGGGGCCGACAACTGACCTGACGCAGACGCAGACGCAGCTATCTGAGGGGACTCAGTGGTCAGTGTGTACAGGCCCGACCCCGGCTGCCGAGTGAAGGTAGCCAGGTGACGACCAGTCTGAGCACACGTGCAGTGTGTCACACGCTCGTAGGCAGGGGTGAACTGGTGAACACCCGCGTCCTGGAGCGCGGAACCCGCCACCAAGTTCGTAGAGAACGAGGGGAGGTAAAGACCCGACAGTGTGCCGGACGGGACAGCAGGACAAGGGAGGACAGTGGAGGAGGTCGCACGGACTGGACCCCCAGAGGGGTCTGCCAGGGAGACTGGAACCGGCCGACTGAGCGGCGTGAGGGTGGTGCTGTCGCGAAAGAAAGAGCGAGAGGCACCGGAGTCAAGTGTGAAGGTGTACAAGGCCTCAGTAGGCGCAGTACCAGAGAGGGCAGACTCACCAGTACCTAGAGCAGCAGCCTCACCAGCACCTAGAGCAGGAGACGCACTAGCACTTAGAGCAGTAGCCTCACCAGCACCTAGAGCAGCAGGCTCTATACCTGGGTCAGGTGGTACGCACAGGTAACAGGTACGGTCGGCACTAGTAGGCAATGCATACATGGCAGTGAGAATAGCATCATAGTCAAGAGCAAAGATATCTACCCTCTGTCCAAGCAGCTCCAGCCAGGTGGGGAGCTCAGTCTCGTCGCCAAACTCGGTACGCCAGGCGTCGCTCAGACGGGCGAAGCAGCGGAACTGTGTGTGACCAGGCGTCCCGCAAGGCTGACCAGTTCGATCACCTGTGCGAATGACGTACGGGCAGCGAACTGGACTCAAAGACCCTCTACTCTGAGCGTACCACTCGTGAAGCTGCCGGGACGTAAGTGTCTCTCGCGAACGCCGCTGCAGCCGCGGCTGGCCACTGCTAGACGCTCCCAACGGACCAGCTCCAGGGCTACAGCCACGACGGCTACCGCCACAACCCCAACTACCGTACCACTCACGAAGCTGCTGGGGCGTGAGAGACTCGCGCGGACGGCACTGGAGCTGCATCGCAGCAGTAGCAGCAGCAGCAGCCTAGCAGCAGTAACAGAAGTAGCGGCAGCAGTAGCAGTAGCAGCGCGGGCAGGCAGGCAGGCCGACAGGCAGGCAGGCAGGCCGACAGGCAGGCAGGCAGGCTGGCTGGCAGGCAGGCAGGCAGGCAGGCAGGCCAGCAGGCAGGCAGGCAGGAGGGCAGGGCAGGCGCGGCAGGCAGGCAGGCAGGCAGTGCGCTAACAAGGCATGTGCTCACCAGTGGCGGGAAGAGCAGGCGCTCGCCGGGCGAGCAGGGCCGGCGCTCGGCGGGCGGCTGCACGGGGTCCAGGGGCGGCTGCACGGAGTCCAGGGGCGGCTGCTTCAGGGACCAGGGGCGGCTGCTCTGGGTATAGGGGCGGCTGCTCAAGGGTCCAGGGGCGGCTGCACCAGGGGCGGCTGCTGCAGGGGCCAGGGGCGGCTGCTCAGGGTCCAGGGGCGGCTGCTCAGGGTCCAGGGGCGGCTGCACCAGGGGCGGCTGCTGTAGGGGCCACGGGCGGCTGCTCTGGGTCCAGGGGCGGCTGCTCGAGGGTCCAGGGGCGGCTGCACCAGGGGCGGCTGCTGCAGGAGCCAGGGGCGGCTGCTCTGGGGGCGACGTTGGGGCAGGGCGGGGCCGCAATAGCGGGTAGAGCTCGGCACGAGGGCCATAGGGGTGCGCGAGGTCGGGGCCGAGCCGCGCGCTGCCAAAAAGGGGCGGCGCGGCGGGCAGGGACGGGCGGCTCGCGGGCCCTACAGGTGCGCGACGGGCCAGGCGGGGTCGCGCGCTGCCAGCAGGGCAGCACGACTGGCTCCCGTGGGCGGCGCGAAGGCCCTAAGGCGACGCGACGGGCGGGGCCGGGCCCTAGGGCGGCGTGACGAGAAAAAACGAAGAAAAAATGAAAATAAACGCGCGTCGCGCGGCCAGCAGGGCGGCGCGACGGGTGGGGCAGCTCGACAGGCAGGGGAAACCCTAAAAAAAGAGAGGTAACGGTGGGCCCACTAGGAAACTAGGTCCTAAGACCTAAGTGCTCTTAATACCATGTTAGAGTAGGGATCATTCAACTATCGAGAAGGTTTGGTACAAGAGTGAAACCTAAGGGGTTGTACCCCACAGTGAGTACCCCACTAAAGCCTACCTAAACTATAATATATAAACATATGTTTGACAGCTTGCTGACTGCGAGAAGCTGTGCACGGGTTTCGCGAAGGAAATCGTCGCGAGAATGAAGTACCGCATGTGGGACTTGCAGCAGTTGGGCGGTGCGAAGATGTATCAAGTTGAATTGTGGCCATGCAGAGACGACCAGCGCGAACTGAAGACACTCGAGTGGCTTGCGGCAAATGACGAGCTGTTTGGCGGATTGCTTCCAGGTGAGGGTAGAATTGACACGTGCAATTGACTCGACTTTTTCATAGCATGCACGTTACAACATCGCATTAACCGACAATCTCCCCCAACTACTTCCACCGCCCCAAACCACCTCCCCGTCAGGATTCGATTTCAAAGCGGCGAAGAAGGAGCTGAAGAGTTTTTGCCACATCATGCCGCGCCATCACGCGGGGGAAGATTTCCACCAGGGCCTTCAAAGCATGTTGAAGAGCCGGGATTGGCGGCGCAGCTATCCGAACCTGATGACACTCTGGCAGGCCCTCGCTGTGCTGCCTCTGAGCACAGTGGAGTGTGAGAGGGGCTTCAGCCGCCAGAACATCATCAAGAGCTGGATGCGCACGTCGCTTTGCGACGCACGCCTTGGAGACCTCATGACTCTGCACATGCTCAAATACCCATACGTCTGGCCAGACGTGGTGGACATCTGGCGCAAGCAGAAAACCCGACGCCCAGCGAAATCAGTTGCGCACGCGACCCCTGTGGATCGGAAGGGGAAATAGAAAGCACCAGAGCCAGAAGAGGAAAGTGACCACGATGAACACCCTTGTGGCATGTCTGATGATGAAGACTGAAATCTGTATTGAGTGCAACGTTATAAACAATTGAACAATATATTTTTTTACCGTACATTGATGCGACAGGGGAGATTTTTAGGAAACCACCTTTATCCTGTTGTAAAAGAATTTTCACAAGGGGTCACACTGATAATCAGGATTTTGAGCAGATGGTACACTGATAATAAGGGTTGGTCAAATCCAAAAAGTAGCCCTGATCCCGACCACCAGCCAACTGCCACGACATCGCCCGCCGTCAATGACTCGCCCGGCATCTGAGCCAATCAGCGAGTCCGAGAAGATTCTGAGTCATCGGATTCGTCATCCCACCGGCATCAAGAGGATCGAGTTCCTCGTTCGCTGGAAGGACCGCACGCCAACTGAAGATATCTGGGTGCCCCTGGCCAACATCGAAAACCACCCTGCACTACAAGTGTACCTAAGGAGCCGGGGTTTCCGCGATATACACGCACTCGCGTAGCGGAGGGGGCTTCTTGAGGAGGGGGGGGGGGGGGGGGGGGGGGGGGAGGGGGGATAGTGTAAGGAATTTTCTCGACATTCCTTACCGCAACCATCAACATCTCGTACATCAGCAGCCGTTGTTCGCCTATTATTGCTAACGGGGCTTCATCAACTTCGCGCGCACTGTTTTACAAAACCTTGCACTGCTGGCCTGGCCGAGTCGGCCCACGCTTCGGGACTAGCCCGAACCTCGATGCCAGCCTAGCACTAGCTAGCTCGCACGCACCGCGTAACCGTTGCATGTTTTCGCACATAAGTATTCGCTCATACCTTCTCTCATACTTTGTACTCGTTTTGACACCTAGTGCAATCCTCGCAACTTCGATTTATTGCACCCGTAACGCATTGCACCAACACGGCTCAAACGGTCCCTCACCACAGAAAGGACGGCGGGAGAGCGAGTGACTGCTGGAGGAGCGCAGGCAGGAGTTTGGGGCCTGTCCGTCAGGTCTCCAATTTTCTCGGGTTGTGTTTCCCTGGCTGGCAAGGACGTATTCCTTTGCTCGGGTCACCTTCGCAGGCATCGCGAAATCGGAGTGAGCGCTGTGCGGCACGAATTTACTCGCCACTGGACTAGCGACACGTCGTTACCAGATAGATTTTGCATAACCCCGTCTGGATCACGGCGATGTGCAGCGTGGGGATGGGCGACACCCCTTCAGATCAGATCGCGGAAAAGTCAGTGTCTCTCAAGACACGCCTTGATTTTACCGCGTTCCACTCATGCCGGACGTCTTCTTCTCCGCTCGAGACCCTACCCAAACTTAAGAACGTGTATACAAACCGTTTTCACACGCAGAATATCGCATCCCACCGTACAAGACACTCCCTAAGGCTTGACAGCTACTGTTGGTTCCACTTCACCCCACTAGCACAAGGCGGCTCTTCCTCACACACACACACAACGCTTGTGTGAGACGTGAGATTGCATCGTCTCCTGTTGCTTTACAACACTTCCCGCTAGCGTCACGCCACGCGATCGCGTTATCATCTCAGACCTCCCCGTCACGTGCTAATATCGCATGCTCGTCCCATTGTGCTTCGACATTGTCGAGCTGCTTCGTCTAGCCGCCTCTGCCGCGACTACCGCGCTACCAGGTGCCTCTCGTCGTTCTCGCGAAGACGATGTGTTGGTCGCACTGGCAGCGTCGGCGTCGAACCCGGTTCAGCCATTCAATAAAAGCCTTGAGCGACGACGCTTAGTCGCTATCTACCGTGCTATTTTTCTCGAGCTCCACCTGTCTATCCGTTTCTGCCCTCCTTCCTCGGGTCGTCGCTCGTCGCCCCGCTCTCGTGCTCGGTGTTGCTGCCTCACTCTAAAAAACGCGTCCGCGAATCTCCCAACCGGCTGCCGATAGTCCTTTGTTCATAGACTCCGCTATTAGCCTTCCGCTATTCACCCTCCCCTTCCGACATAAGCTTCAGTCTTTAACCCGCCTACCTTTAACTGTTAACCCGCGCAATCTCCGCGCATGACACTCCGCGCATGACTCTCCGCGCGTGACATCCGCGCATGACTGCCCGCGCGTGAGCCGCGCCGTGGATGTCATCGTCGGGTCGCAGCAGCAGCAGCAGCAACACCGCCTTCTCCTCCGATCGCAGCGTCGCCAGCAGCGTCGCCAGTTGCTCCTCCGCGCGCGCCCCCCCCTCGCTCCCCCACCCCGCCGCCTCTGATTCCGCCGCGCCTGATTTTGCCGCGCCGGATACAGCCACGCCTGATTCCGCCGCGCCTGATACTGACATTCCTGATACCACTGTCCCTGCGTCCGCCCCGGCCGTTCCCCCGTGGGACATCCGTGCGTCCCCCGCCGCGGGTAGCGCGGGCGTGCAGCAGGCGAGCGGAGACGTGTTCATCCCGTGGCCCGCCCACGTGCGCGCCGCCCTCGCTTCTCCGCAGCAGCAGCAGCAGCAATTCACCTTGTTTTTGCAGCAGCAACAGCAGGGCCTTGAGGGAGCCGTTCGGCTAGAGCAACAGCCGGATATCTCTCTGTTTCAGCAGCAGCAGCAGCAGCAGCAGCAGCAGCAGCAGCAGCAGCAGCAGCAGCAGCTTTTTGCGTTCCAGCAGCAGCAGGGCGTGCGGCGCACAGGCGACTGCGTGGGGACGTGCCTGACGTCCCTGGAGGTGCTGCTGAATCCATTCTGCGCGCGCGCCACGCACCACCTGCCCCTCCACTCGCCCGCTTTCTCCATGGTATGCTGCTCCCTCGGTAGGCTAGGAAGGCTCTGTCTTTCACGGATGGGATGGGCCCACACCACTCACACATCTGACTTCCTCGCTGCCTTGCCCTGCTGACGTCACAGCCCAACTTCACATTTGTGTCTCGTCTCCCCCCACGCTGCTGAACCATTGCTTTCTCACTCTCTCATCACTCTCTTCTCTTTTCCCCCCACACTCGCTTCCCTCCTCCCTCCCTCTCCTTTCTTCCCTCTCGCCATCACGCTCATCTCATCCATGCATGCTCCCTTTCTCTCCTCGCCCCCCGCCCTCCCCCCTCACCAGGCGTCCAATTCCTCTGCGCCCTCGTCCAACGGCCCCTCCCCGCTCGCCCCCTGGCACCACCCGCAGCAGCAGGCGCAGCAGCCGTACCACCCGCAGCAGCAGCAGGCCTTTCCGCCCCCCCATGGCCTCATGCCGCCGCCCCAGCCACGCCCATCGCAGCAGCAAAACCACGTCTCTTTTCAGCTGCCGCAGCCTTCGCAGCAGCAAAACCACGTCTCTTTTCAGCTGCCGCAGCCTTCGCAGCAGCAGCATTCACAGCAGCAGGGGGGAGGCGACATGGGAATGGGCATGGACATGGAGCTGAGCATTCAGCTGCCCGCACGGCGCTGGCCGCCCACCCTGGCCGCCGTCACGCCTGGTAGAAGTCTCACCGCCTCCGTGCTCGGCCGCGGCCCCACCCGTAAGCCCACCCACCTACCCGTAAGCCCACCCCCGGCCCCACCCGTAAGCCCACCCACGGCCCCCACCCGTAAGCCCACCCACGGCCCCCACCCGTAAGCCCACCCACGGCCCCCACCCGTAAGCCCACCCACGGCCCCCACCCGTAAGCCCACCCACGGCCCCCACCCGTAAGCCCACCCACGGCCCCCACCCGTAAGCCCACCCACGGCCCCCACCCGTAAGCCCACCCACGGCCCCCACCCGTAAGCCCACCCACGGCCCCCACCCGTAAGCCCACCCACGGCCCCCACCCGTAAGCCCACCCACGGCCCCCACCCGTAAGCCCACCCACGGCCCCCACCCGTAAGCCCACCCACGGCCCCCACCCGTAAGCCCACCCACGGCCCCCACCCGTAAGCCCACCCACGGCCCCCACCCGTAAGCCCACCCACGGCCCCCACCCGTAAGCCCACCCACGGCCCCCACCCGTAAGCCCACCCACGGCCCCCACCCGTAAGCCCACCCACGGCCCCCACTCGTAAGCCCACCCACGGCCCCCACCCGTAAGCCCACCCACGGCCCCCACCCGTAAGCCCACCCACGGCCCCCACCCGTAAGCCCACCCACGGCCCCCACCCGTAAGCCCACCCACGGCCCCCACCCGTAAGCCCACCCACGGCCCCCACCCGTAAGCCCACCCACGGCCCCCACCCGTAAGCCCACCCACGGCCCCCACCCGTAAGCCCACCCACGGCCCCCACCCGTAAGCCCACCCACGGCCCCCACCCGTAAGCCCACTCACGGCCCCCACCCGTAAGCCCACCCACGGCCCCCACCCGTAAGCCCACCCACGGCCCCCACCCGTAAGCCCACCCACGGCCCCCACCCGTAAGCCCACCCACGGCCCCCACCCGTAAGCCCACCCACGGCCCCCACCCGTAAGCCCACCCACGGCCCCCACCCGTAAGCCCACCCACGGCCCCCACCCGTAAGCCCACCCACGGCCCCCACCCGTAAGCCCACCCACGGCCCCCACCCGTAAGCCCACCCACGGCCCCCACCCGTAAGCCCACCCACGGCCCCCACCCGTAAGCCCACCCACGGCCCCCACCCGTAAGCCCACCCACGGCCCCCACCCGTAAGCCCACCCACCTACCCGTAAGCCCACCCACGCACCCGTAAGCCCACCCACGGCCCCCACCCGTAAGCCCACCCACCTACCCGTAAGCCCACCCACGCACCCGTAAGCCCACCCACGCACCCGTAAGCCCACCGCCCCACCCGCAAGCCCACGGCCCCACCCGCAAGCCCACCGCCCCACCCGTAAGCCCACCGCCCCACCCGTAAGCCCAGTGCCCCACCCGTAAGCCCACCGCCCCACCGTAAGCCCACCGCCCCACCCGTAAGCCCACCGCCACCAAACCCCCCTTCCCCCAGTGCCCCACCCGTAAGCCCTGCCCCTCGCCCTTGCCCAAGTCGCAGCCCTTGTGGCTACCCGCCCGTGCTCCCTGCCACCATCACCTCCCTGCCACCATCACCTCCCTGCCACCATCACCTCCCTGCCACCATCACCTCCCTGCTCCGCTCACCTCCCTTCCTCTCCCTTCCCTCATTCCCTCTGCCTTTCCCTTCTCATCTTCTCCGTGCATCCCCTCACTCCCCACTTGGCCCGCCCTCCCCTCCCCCAGCGAACATCCGAACGCTGTTCAACATAGAGCGCAAGGCGCTGGGCGAGGGGCAGTACGGCAAGGTGTATGTGTGCACCGAGAAGGCCACGGGCGTGCGGTACGCCTGCAAGACCATCGCTCGCAGCTCCCTCATCTCCGTGGAGGATGTGGAGGACGTGCGCATGGAGGTGAGGCCGTGCGCATGGAGGTGAGTGGACGGGCGCATGGAGGTGAGTGGACGGGCGCATGGAGGTGAGTGGACGGGCGCATGGAGGTGAGTGGACGGGCGCATGGAGGTGAGTAGACGGGCGCATGGAGGTGAGTAGACGGGCGCATGGAGGTGAGTGGACGGGCGCATGGAGGTGAGTAGACGGGCGCATGGAGGTGAGTAGACGGGCGCATGGAGGTGAGTAGACGGGCGCATGGAGGTGAGTAGACGGGCGCATGGAGGTGAGTAGACAGGCGCATGGAGGTGGCCCATTCTCGAGCTGACAGCACTTTCTGAATCAAATCCATTCCAGGTTTTAGCTCTTGGAACCAACAGCCTTAGTGATTTCGTATTTTGCTATGCTATGCGCAAGTGAATAAGTAACAATGTGATGTGAAGACCACGTCTAGTGCCCTGGCGAGCGTTTGGGGTGTTCAGCGAAAATGAATACGCGTCACATGCATCTCCCAATGAAGACAAGAGCAGCCATCTCCCCCAAACCACACATGACAGTCAAACAAGTTGTCATCTGTTCACAGCTCCTCATCCCACCCCACGGCAGGTGAGCGTGCTGTTCCGGCTGCAGGGGCAGCCGAACGTGGTGCGCGTGCACAGCACGTACGAGGACCGCCGCGACATCCACATCGTCATGGAACTCTGCAGCGGGGGCGAGCTCTTCGATGAGATCAACCGCCGCTGCGATGAGATGACCGTGCCCTACAGGTGTGGGGTGGCCATAGGAAGAGATGACCTTAGGGTGGATGGGAGGGCTATCTGGGTGCAGTGTGATGCAGCTGCAGAGGAGGGTGCCGCTTGGGTGAGGGGAGGACGTTGGGGAAGCATGATGGGTGCCGTGCTGTTGTAGCAAGGGGATTGGTGTGGGGATGGTAATGAAGGATGGTGAGGTTTTCAGCGTCGTGGAATCACATTCAGCTGTCGCACATATCAGCCTTTCATGTATCTACCGCCACTCAGCAGCATCTCCGTTCCACCACTTTCGCTGCCGCTTGCCCTCACCCTGCCACCTTCTTCCTACCTTCTGCATCTCTCACCCGCTCTCCCTCCACCACTTCCCATCCCCCCTCACACCCCCACTGACGACCATGTGCGCGAGGGGCAGTGAGAGGGACGCGGCGAAGCTGTGCAAGGCGGTGGTGCGCGCGGTGCACTCGTGCCACAGCAGCGGGGTGATCCACCGCGACCTCAAGCCCGAAAACTTCCTCTTCTCCTCCGCTGGCGCCGATGCCGTGCTCAAGGCCGCTGACTTCGGCATGGCTGCCTACTTTAAACCTGGTGAGTGAGTGGCGCACGTGAGAGGCAGGTGGGGCTGCTGACATGGCAGATGGGGCTACTGACATAGACTGAGGGAGCGTGTGGTGGAGTGAGAAACAAAGGAGTGGTTGAAGGGTGTGCTGCTACTGTTGGAGTCGAACTGCGAGGCGCCCCTCCATCTGTCTCTGCAGCACCATGACCGCATGCCCTCATGTGCTCTCTCCGTTCTGTAACCGTGTGTGCGCACATGTGTGCATGGCAGGCGAGGGATTCACGCGCGTGTGTGGCAGCTGCATGTACATGGCGCCGGAGGTGATCCGCATCTGGGAGAACCTGGGCAAGCAGCGCTACGGGCCGCCCGTGGACATCTGGGCGTGCGGCGTCATCTTCTACATCCTCCTCGCCGGCAACTACCCCTTCCTGCCACAAGGCCCCGATAGTATACACCTTCTCCCCCACTCGCTTCTCTTCCAAGTTCCAACTAACCATCCAACTAACCACCCAAGATAATGACGATGTCCCTCGCTTGCTGTCTTGCCGTCCTACATCGCTCTCTTGTATCTCCCTGCCCTTCCTCAATGCACCACCCACCTTCCACCCCCCTGCGATCAGTCCTCCACTCTAGTACCCACTTGAATGCTTTTCACCCCCACCCCTTCCCCCCCACTCCTCTTTTCTCCTCCCTCCCCGCATCCCCCCCCCCCAATGCAGGGTCGGAGAGGGCGTTCAGGCGGGTGATACTGCAGCCGCAGCGGCTGTTCCGCGAGGCGGTGTGGGGGCGCATATCGGCGGACGCCAAGAGCCTCATCGCCGCCATGCTGCACCCCGACCCCGCCCTGCGCCCCATGGCGCAGCAAGTGCTCGGTGCGTGCCCGTGATATAGTGGGTGGGTGGGATGTGTGGTATATGATGGGTGGGCTATGGTGGGTGGGATATGATGGGTGGGAGATGGTGGGTTTGATATGGTAGGTGGGATACGGTGCAGTGAAGTGCGGTGTGTGTATGTGGTGGGAAAGCAGATGTCATGCCACCCTCCACTTCCACTCACGCGCAGGGGTGGCAGATGACCTAACATTCACATCCTGCACCCTACTTATTGCCTTTGTCTTTCTCTCCGTGTTGCTTCCGCCTGGCTCATTCGATCCTCCCCACTTGTGCCCCTCTACTGTTTGTTCTTCCTCCCCGCCTTCCGGTCGCAACCGCACTTCCCCAAACACCGCATTCACACCCGCCCCAGCCCTCTCCCCTGCTCCCATCGTGCGCTGCCTGGCACAGAGCACACGTGGATAGTGCGGGCGCCGGACGAGCCGTTGGAGAAGGACGTGGTGGACCGCTTCAAGCAGTTCCTCTACGTCATGCGCCTCAAGAAGGTCAAGAAGGTGGCGCTCCGGGTGAGTCAACAAGGTCAAGAAGGTGGCGCTCCGGGTGAGTCAACAAGGTCAAGAAGGTGACGCTAAGGGTGAGTCAACAAGGTCAAGAAGGTGGCGCTAAGGGTGAGTCAACAAGGTCAAGAAGGTGGCTCTAAGGGTGAGTCAACAATGTCAAGAAGGTGGCGCTAAGGGTGAGTCAACAAGGTCAAGAAGGTGGCGCTAAGGGTGAGTCAACAAGGTCAAGAAGGTGGCGCTAAGGGTGAGTCAACAAGGTCAAGAAGGTGGCGCTAAGGGTGAGTCAACAAGGTCAAGAAGGTGGCGCTAAGGGAGAGTCAACAATGTCAAGAAGGTGGCGCTAAGGGTGAGTCAACAAGGTCAAGAAGGTGGCGCTAAGGGTGAGTCAACAAGGTCAAGAAGGTGGCGCTAAGGGTGAGTCAACAATGTCAAGAAGGTGGCGCTAAGGGTGAGTCAACAAGGTCAAGAAGGTGGCGCTAAGGGTGAGTCAACAAGGTCAAGAAGGTGGCGCTAAGGGTGAGTCAACAAGGTCAAGAAGGTGGCGATAAGGGTGAGTCAACAAGGTCAAGAAGGTGGCGCTAAGGGTGAGTCAACAATGTCAAGAAGGTGGCGCTAAGGGTGAGTCAACAAGGTCAAGAAGGTGGCGCTAAGGGTGAGTCAACAAGGTCAAGAAGGTGGCGCTAAGGGTGAGTCAACAATGTCAAGAAGGTGGCGCTAAGGGTGAGTCAACAAGGTCAAGAAGGTGGCGCTAAGGGTGAGTCGCTTCAAGCAGTTCCTCTGTGTCGCCCCTTTTCACTCGCCTCACTCGCCTTGCTTTCATTGCATGTGTGCTGCGCATGGTGGAAGGCAGTGCACACGCACTGCGCTGTGGCATCGCTCCATTCTCTCCTACGTCCTTCCAGGGCACAGTAATGCAGGCGCACGTGGACTGGTGCAGCTTTGCTGCTGCCATGTTGTACCCATGTCCCCTGTCCCCTGCACTTCACTCTGGCCTGCGGGCCTCCCCTGCCACCCCTACCCCGTGTGGCAGGCGATGGTGGAGGGCATGGGGGAGGACGACATCCGCGTGGTGCAGGGCGACTTGGGTCGCGTGGACCCCAACGCCACCGGAGTGGTGCCCATCGAGGCGCTGCCCCACGCGCTGCACTCGCGCGGCTTCCACGGCCCTGCTGATGCCGTGGCCAGCATCATCCACGAGGTCCGTGCACGCCGCCTGCACGGGCTAACGCTCAAACTTCATGGGCTACAATGGATCTGTTGCTGCTCATTCTGCTCTCCTCAACCGCAAGTGCACATGCGCTGGAGACAAGCCCTGGATGCAAGCACTGCTGAATGCCCCCGTGCCACGCCCACACCCCCGCCCCACCCCATCAGATCTGTCTGGACGGCAAGGTGGCGTTTGACTATGCGGACTTCTTTGTGGCGCTGCTGCAGCTGTGCGGCGTGGAGCAGCAGGAGAACCTGTTCCAGGCCTTCTCCGTGTTCGACCAGGACCTCAGCGGGTACATCAGCGAGGCCGAGCTGCAGCGCGCGTGTGAGAAATACCGCGTCAACCGCCAAGTGGTGCAGGAGATGATGGCCGAGGTCAACCGCGATGAGGTGAGATGATGGCCGAGGTCAACCGCGATGAGGTGAGATGATGGCCGAGGTCAACCGCGATGAGGTGAGATGATGGCCGAGGTCAACCGCGATGAGGTGAGATGATGGCCGAGGTCAACCGCGATGAGGTGAGATGATGGCCGAGGTCAACCGCGATGAGGTGAGATGATGGCCGAGGTCAACTGCGATGAGGTGAGATGATGGCCGAGGTCAACCGCGATGAGGTGAGATGATGGCCGAGGTCAACCGCGATGAGGTGAGATGAATGATGAGCGGTATAAGGGGTTTTTACAAATGACAGGGAAGGGAATGGACAGGTGGCTGCTGGCTCAACTGATCTTCGTTGTTCCATTTTCTCCCACCAACTCTCCAGACCCTCCCTCCGCACCTCTATCCCTAATCCTGTTCCCTCCTTCACATGCGAGTGTGGCCAAGGGACAGCAGTGGAGGCAAGCAACATGAGGCAGTGTGGTGTGCACACCCATGTGCCTCCGTGCCCCCTCGTTCAACCATCCCTCCCCGCCCCGCATGTATGTCTGCGTGTGCATGTGTGCGCCTATGTGCGTGTGTGTGCGTGTGCATGTGTGGGCGTGTGCATGTGTGGGTGTGTGCGTGTGTGTGCGTGTGTGTGAGGGTGGCTGGCAGGCGGGGCGGGTGGACTACAACGAGTTTGTGGCGATGATGCGCATGCAGGCGGGCGGGGTGAGCCGGCGAACCATAGAGCGCCACATGGACAACGGCAGCATCAAGGAGATGGACCACGGGGGCGCATCAGGGCCGTACGATGGGGACAGCGATGACATGCGCAGTGATGCTGCCTGTGCTGCTGCTGATACCGCCAGTGTTGGCAATGGGGGCGGGTTCTGATTCTGATTCCACTGTTGCTGCAACGGCCACACTTTGGGTGCACATCCAGCATACACTAACCACTGGTCTATTACCTAGTAACGTACCTAGATTCTTAACCAGGTGCTATGGATGTAGACCTTCAGAAGACTTCCGTACATTTGAAATTACGATACTGAGAGTGTGATCTCCAAGTTCGTGCTTGCAGTAGACTGTGCACGTGAGTTGAGACTAGCCCCTCAGGTGTGTTTGGCGAAGATGAAGCCATTAGGATTATTGAGTTGTGGAGTGGAAGGCAAATATGATTAATTCAGAAGTCATACCACAATAGTTTAGTACTCAACCTCAAGCAGAAGCATGGTTTGTCTTATCTGCAGACAAGTGGTTCTAATGCAACCAAGACTCAATAAATTGTAGAATTGAAAGATTTTGGCAGAACAGTTTTATTTTTCACAATTTCGAGATATCCCTTTTCTGAGTGTAGAGTGAGTTACGGTAGTCATCAAAACTACTGTATAACCTAAAACAATGCAAGTAATTCAAGTACCATCCAATGCACAGCCTGCCAACACTAGTAGCAATCTACACATGCCCCTCCTTTCAGCAATGTTACTACACACCAATCCTCTCTGCTGCTGCTCCCAGCCTTCCACGTCGTCTCAACCGCCCACCCTCCTTTCACCCCCTCCCCCTCTTTCCTCCTCACCTGAGCTGCAGGTCGATCACGTTTTGCCTCGCCAGCAGCGACTGGGGAACATAGCTGAGCTCGCAGCACCCCGCCACTATCACCTCCCTCAATGTCCCCACACCCGCCAGCCCCTCCGGCAGCGCTTGCAGCTGCTCACAGTCTTCCAGTGAGAGGATCACCAAGGCAGGGAGGAGGGGGAGCGACTCGGGCAGGCGGCGCAGGCGGGGGAGACAGTTGAGCTTGAGGGAGGCGAGGCGGGGGAGGGAACCGATGGAGGCGGGGAGAGAGGAGAACTGATCACATTCGCTGAATGAGAGGAGGACGAGGGAGGAGAGGAGCCCGATGGATGCAGGCAGCCCCACCAGAGCATCACACGACTCCACCGTGAACTCTTTCAGGGCCTTCAGCTGCCCGAGATTCTCGGGCAGGCACGCCAGGCGCGGGAGGGTTCTCAGCACGAGTTTTTCAAGGTTGGCGAGGAGGGGTAGAGAGGCGGGGAGGGAGGGCATGTAGCGGCAATTTTCGAGAATGAGCACTTAGAGGTTTGAGAGCTTGTTGAGGTTACTGGGCAGCAACGGGAGGGTGGATTCCACGATTGCCAGGTGCTGCAGCGACGAGAGCAGCGCCAATCTGGCTGGCTGACCAGGTCGAGGATCAAGCGAGAAGCCGAGAAGTGGATGGGTTCAGGTGCCTGGAGTGCCGAGGCCAGTAGCAGCTGGGGCGAAGAGTGCGTCGAGAGAGACGAGCTCGTGCAGGCTGAGATGGGTGAGGCGCGAGAGGGTGAGGAATGAGTCCGGCAGGTAGCACGCTTCTGGGAAGACGTCAAGCAGAGAGACAGAGGTGACGGAGGGGGGGAGAGCGATGGGTGCAGACAGTGAGGTGGAGGAGGGGAATCCTAAAAAGCCCTTTGCCATTTCCAGCTGGTCGCACTTTTCCAGGGTGAATTGCTCCAGCCGCGGCAGAGCATCGAGGCCGTGTGGAAGGCTTGTTAGAGTCGGGCAGTTGGAGATCTCCAGGCTGTGAAGCATGGGGAGCGGAGTGGAGCAAGCAGCAGGGCGCGCAAAGGGATGTGTCCAGGAATGAGGAACATGCCCAGCAACAGTAGGGGCAGCAGGGGCAGCGGCGGATGAACGCCCCGCCCCCTAGGCGCGGAGGTGGAGGTGGGAGGAGGAGCGGGCAGGAGGGAGGGGAAGCAGCGCATATTCGAGCAATTCTTCACGCGCAGCACTTGCAGCCCAGCCAGCCGTCCCAACCCCTCTGGCAAGCTCTCTAGCGCGTCACACCCGTCCATGACCAGCTGCTGCAGACAGGTGAGGGAAGAGAAGGACGGGGGCAAGCAGCGCAGCAGGCAGCGCCCCAACAGCGGTTCATTCAGCGTGGCCACTGAGAGCGCCGCGGGGCAAGCAGATGAGGAGGGCTGCCCTGGATCCGCGCCGTCCCTCGTGTAGCTCTCCCTGCTCCCCACCTTGAGAACCTCCAGCTTCGGCAGCTGCCCGAACCTCTCTGGCAGGCTCGGCATCGCGCAGTTGAAGAGCTCCAGGCAGCGCAGCTGCGGGAGCTGCTCGAAATTGGGCGGCAGGGAGATGAGCGACGTTCCCCCATAGATGGCTAGGGTTTCCAGCGAGGAGAGATATGCAAAAAACGCGGGCAGCTCAAGTAGCCCGTAGCAGGCGTGGAGCCTCAGCTCCTGCAGCTTCTCCAGCTGCCCGAACGACCTGGGCAGGGCGGTCAGTCGCTCGCAGGACAGCTTCAGCTGGTCAAGATTCGACAGCTGCCCGAAATCCTCGGGCAGCGCCCACGCAGCGCAACCGTCAAGAGTGAGGCAGGCGAGGGAGCACATGGCGGAGACCGAGCGCGGGAGACCCACGAGGCGGCTGCAATTGACGACTTTGAGCTCGCGGAGGCGAGAGGCGCGACCCAGGGAGTCCGGAAGGGCCGTGAGGGCGTCGAGAAAGATGAGGTCGACGCGTTGCAGGGTGGGCATGTGGCCCATGGCGTCCGGCAGGGCTGAGAGCGCTTGGCAGTTGTGAAGCGAGAGGCGCTCGAGCGTGCGGCTGGCAGAGAGCGAGTGCGGGAGGTGCTTGAGGCGACCGCTGTCTCGAATGGCGAGGTCACGCAGCGCTGGCAGGTGACCTAAGGATTCTGGGAGGGCAGTGAGGGCGATTAGCGCTTCCAGGTGGATGGTGCGCAGATTCGGCAGCTGGTGAAAGTTTTCGGGCAGATTTGCGAGCTCATGGCAGTGCTCTATGGTCAGGCTGGTAAGGGCAGAGAGGAGGCAGATGGAGGCGGGCAGCTCGACGAGTTGCATCAGGAGTTTGAGAGTGAGTTTCTTGAGGTTTCGGAGCTGCCCGACGTCGCTGGGCAGATGGGAAAAATCGCAGCCGCGCAAGCTGACGTACTCCAGCGCGGGCAGCCCGCAAAATGAATCAGGCAGCACGAGGGAAGTCGACCGGATTTGCAACCGCTTCAGTCGCACCAAACTGCCAATCTCCGCTGGTAATGTGGTAACATCTTCGTCAAAAGACATGCTGAGCTTCGTGAGTTGCTGCAGGCAGCTGACGGCCGCGGGAACATTCGGAAATCCCTCTCCCAAAGGTCAGGTTGAGACTGACCAATCGTGTGCAAGAGCAGAACAAGGCGGCGACATCGGCCGGCGAGACCGACCCCGCCGCTAGCGCCGCTTCCGCCACCGCCGCCGCCTGCGCGCCGATCCCACGAAAAGAGTACCGTCGCGCGCGCGTCACGGGCAGCCAGGCATCGTGTAGCTGCAGCGTGAGGTGCGTTAGAGACGGCCCAGATCCGGCGCAGATGGCGCGCACGAGCGCGGGATCGACGGTGTCCAGCGCGTTCGGCGCAAGGTGCAGATGGCGGAGGTTGAGGAGCCCCGCGATCGCGGGCGCGCGGAGGAGAGACGCGAGAGCGCGCGCGGAAAAGAAGCGATCGAGCGGAACGACGATGGCGGGATGTACGAACCGCGCGACGCGCAACCAGCGCTTGCATACGAGCGCGTGGCGGAACGAGACCAGCGACGACGAACACCTAAGGGGAGCCCTCGGGATTTGCGGCCAGCCACGCGGTCTCAGAGGGGAGCTGCTCAAGGAGGGCCTCGTCGATCTTCCTTGCCGCATCGGCTTCTTCCTCGTCGGTCACAGGACGATCCTGGCTAACGAATCTGACGCCGTTGCACGCCACGCGCAGCAGCACGGCGCCCAGCAGGTTGTCGGAGAACGCAGAGAAGGGATCGCCGTCGGTTCGCCTGGCCTGTTGCTGGGGTGGTGCTTCACGACCCGAAGCCTCGGCCATGTTTGATCTGGCGATTCTGCTGTGCTTGCTCGAACGGGCGAAGATACAGGATGACATAAGATATCTGAACTTACGAATTCGGCAGTGTGCGGTGGAAATCTGCGGCTTGACAAGAGTTGGGAGTGCAAGGGTGCGGTGCGGTCCGGCCATTTTCAGGTGCATGCCGCACAGCCTAGGAACGCTATTCAAGTGCATGCCAGGTGATAGGGCAGGTGCGTACAGTTGTTTCAGGTTAAACAATTACTCCCTCAATTTCACACGCTTTTCAAGATGATTCGAATTGACACAATAGGTCTAAATTATATGCAATTTCGGACTACGCGCAAATCGGAATCGGATCGATTGGCTCTCGATGCTGCATTTTCTGACGGCACTCAGTGGAATGATTGCATTTTTGCCCAATTTCTACGCATGTTTCCGATTCGCAACAATGTTTATTAACGAATCCTAATGCTAGATCTGTTGTACTGTTGACGCAGGTGACGAGACGGGCAAATCAGCAAACCCTTTTTTGGGTGTGCACAAATTAGAAAAGGAAAATATGCCCGAGGTTTTTTAAATTTGCCCCTACCAGAATATTTTTCCGTACATGTACATTGTAATAGGTGGAATTCCATGCCGTTAATTACGTGCCAACAACTACATATGTACCGTACCGTATACTCTTAATAGCGGTAGGGGCAACTCTTCTAACACTTGGGCAGATTTCTCGTGTTTCAGATTACCCTTTCCAACTAATGCACGTCCCATTAGGGTTTGTTGATTTGAACCGCGAAACGTCCGCCACCTGCGCCAACAGTACAAGCGATTCAGCATTAGAATTCATTGAAAAACAGTTGGTACGAAGCAGAAATTTCCGTAATTTCGGCGAAAAATGAAATCATTACATTGAGTGACGTCAGAAATTCAGCTTCGGGAGCCAACCAGTTTCGATTCCGATTTGCGTATACCGAAGTTGCATCTGTTTCATACCGTTTGTGCTAATTCGAATCGAATATTCGAATTCGTGTGCAATTACAAGAGACTTTTAATAACCTGAGACAACTGTACGAACCTGGCATGCACCTGAGAAGCGTTCCTAGGCTAAGCAGCATGCACCTGAAAATGGCCGGGTGCGGTCTCAAAGCTTGATTAGCTGATGAGATTGTGCAGCATATCACCACTCGCACACCCCTGACCTTCTGGCGGACATGAAGCGGGGACAAGTGAGCGGGAAAGCAAGCACACTCTGACAACGCGAGCAGCATGGCATGCGGGGCAGGCGAGGCTTGATTGCGAGAACTAAGGGTAGATGTGACAAGTGGCAGACCCACAACGAAATCAAGGAATGCGCTTCGATGCCAGCCATCACGGGTCGCAATTCCGAGTATTTGAAATATAAGCGTTACAGTGAGAATGAATGGAAAATTCCTTACAGGAATGCTTTTCAAATAAATAGGGTGTAGAGGCTAGACAGACTGCTGCACATTTCAAATCATGGTAAGAATACAGCTTCATATTGTCGGCCAAGCCGAGTTTTACACTCAAGGCATTTCACCTGATTAATTTGAGGCGTGAGCAGGTCGCATGGCAGGAAGCGGCTAGAAGCGTTTGTGTTTGACGCGCCAGACTCGCCAGCGGTTGCGGCCGACAAGGAATGCCAGATATGCCAGCACCGCCCCCCCGCCCCACACCGACCACGCCACTGGCGCCTCCTGGCAGCACGGCGAAACACATAGCAGGGAGGGGTGAGGCGAGAGGCACACAGGGAGGGGTGAGGCGAGAGGCACACAGGGAGGGGTGAGGCGAGAGGCACACAGGGAGGGGTGAGGCGAGAGGCACACAGGGAGGGGTGAGGCGAGAGGCACACAGGGAGGGGTGAGGCGAGAGGCACACGGGGAGGGACACCGACGACATGTGGGGTTTGCAAGGGAGCAATGGATGGAATGCCATGGCATGGTAAGAGGGAGGGGAAGGGAGGTGAGAGGGAGGGGAAGAGGGCGGACCTGGAAGCAGGAGAAGGACGTGTGCATGTCCTGTGCGGACTGCCCCGCCAGCTCAAACAGCGCGTCCATGTCATGCCGTGCCGACCGCGCATAGTACCCCGCCAAGTGCATGTCCACTGCGGACAGGGCCGTTGCGGCGCGCTGCAGCTTGTGGCGCAGCACCCCCCAGCGCTGCTCAAAGCGCTGCCTCACCGCGCCCGGCTTCAGCGCCGCCTCCTCCGACCCGTACCTCTGGTGGTACAGGGGTGGTTGGGGGGACATGGGAGGGGAGGGGAGCGGAATGAGAAGGCGGTGAGGCACGGCACAGAAGGAGGAGGGCAGTGACGCTTTGGGTTGAGGTGCGGCTTGGGGGGCAAGGAGTGCCGAGCAGAACACATGGCGAGGGAAGATGGTAAGGGGAGGGAGACTGGGAGGGGGGAAAAGGAGGGGAGACGGGAAGAGGAGAAGGTGACGGGAGAGGGAGAGGGGAGGGAAGATGGAGAGGGCAGAATGCAAGGGGAGAGGGCGTGGGGAGAAGGGAAGAGAAGCGGGGCACCTGGAGCGCGGAGAGGAGGTGGAGCATGCTGGAGATGGTGGAGTTGAGCGTGGACAGCACCACGTTGCGCAGCGCCGTGTCGCGCATCGTGGTGGTGACAGTGAGGTGGCGTGAGAAGGGGCCCATGGGCGTCATGCCACCGCTCCACCGGTAGTCGTGCTGCGAGGCATTGTGGATGGCGCTCCATGCCTCGTGGCTGGTGGGGTGCATGGCACATGGCACATGGCAGATGGCAGATGGGAAGGAGTGGACGGGAGATGCAACGTGCTGAGAGCATGTATGGGCAGCGATGATGGCATCGGCATTGTGGTGTGCACTGGATGGCGAGACATGAACGTGCATGCATGGCAGCCATGCATGTTCCACGTGCATGTGCATGTGCATGTGCATGTGCAGACAAGGTGGCGAGTGCATGAGGAAAGCAGGTGGCAGCAGGGGGCAGCAGGAAACGGCAGAGGCGAGCAGACGGCAGCAGGGGCGAGACGGGGGAAGTAGGGCGCGAGAAGGGGGCAACAGGGGTGCAGCAGGGGGGGGAGCATACGTGGGGGCGACACCCCAGGCGGTGTGCAGGATGGCGGAGAGCACGGGGCGCGTGACGTTGCTGGGATCCACGTCCACCACCTCGCCCTCGCACCTGGTGCTCCCGGGGGTGGGGGGGGGGGTAAGGCAGGGTTGGTGGTGGTAGCGCAGGCAGGGTGTGGCAGGCATGCAGCACAGGGTACGAAAAGCAGAAAAAGTGGGGCAACGGAACAACAACAAGGGCACTGTGATCATCTTGCTCTAGCAACCCATCCTCACCCCCCACCTATCAACCCCCCTCCACCTCCCATCTTCCTCCTTCACCTCCCACCCTCCCCCCTTTCTCACATGTAGTGCGAGGGCAGCAGCGGGGCCGTGGTGCGCACAGCCAGCACCATGTCGTCGTACGCCAGCGCCTGATGGGGGGTGCGGTGGGGGGGAGGGAGGAGAGACGGGCATGGAGACACCATGGAGAGAGAGCATGGGGGCAGAGAGAGGAGAGAATTGTGGCACTTTGAGAAGAAAGCTGCACATTGCACAAGGGATTGCCGCATGCCTTCACCCGCCTTGTACCCGTTTTCATCCCCACTCTCCGCCGTCCATGTGCCTCGGGCATTACCCGGTGGCGGCCATCCAGCAGCAGCGGGGCCGGCTCGTGGAGGTCGAAGAGGAAGACGGGGAAGAAGCGCCCCGCGTGGGGGTTGGGGTCGTTGCGCTCCGCATAGTCCGGCAGTGGCAGCCCCGCTAGCTCTGCGCGCGGGGGTTGGGTGGGGAGGGCATGGGGTGGTGCGAGTTAGCACAGCACAGCAGCATTGCACGTGTGAAGCCAGAAGCTGCATTCAGCATGGTTCAGGTGGGGCTCACCGGTGATCTCAGGCCAGAACTCCGACAGGTGGTGGTGCAGATCCTCTGAGTCCAGGTGGCGCCGCACCTCCATGCCACCTGGCACACCTGCTGCTGAGCTGGAAGCAGCACCAGCGGAGGCCTCATACAGGCCAGACTGGCGGGGTGGCGGGTGGCAAAGGGGAAGAGAAGGGAAGGGAAGAGGCGAAGAGAGGAGAGGAGGAGAGGTTGAAGTGAGAGTACGGCTTCACCTCCACTACTGTGCTCGAATCTCTGTGTGTAAGGTTCACAAACCACATTTGCCCGTCCAACATCGGGCACGAGATAATCCTTTGCCCGGCCGAGATGAATGCTTGTCCTTGCTTTGAGGGTCAAGCAGCGCATGGATGAGGAACAGATGAGAGAAGCAAACAGCAATGCGAGGCATGAGAGGAGAGGGCAGGGTTTGTAAAGAGCGCACCCGCATGGCGCGGTGCAGAGCGGTGGAGCAGAAGGAGCAGGTGGCGAGGGAGAGGTCGACTCGCTTGAAGCGCACCTGCTGCCCCGCCAGCAGCACTGGCGGTGAGCGCGCTAGCAGCTGGGCGGGTGACGGGGGTGAGGATGCAGTTGTGAGGGGTTGGAGGGGTGGGACCGTGGCGAAGCAAAGTGAGCACAACGATTGCAGGCTAGGGTGGCACGGGATTTTGATAAGTTGAGAATGAATGAGAGAGGGGAATGGGCAGGTGCGTGAGATGAGGTGTGCGTGTGCGGCGCAGACGGCCCAGCAGCACTTCACCCACCATCCACTCTTGCCATGTCGGTGGTAACCGCGTACACCACGGGCGCGCATCGCTCACCTGCTCCTTGATTGCGCCCAAATCGAGCCCCGTGTCCTCCTCGCCACCCGTAGCGGCGCCACTGTGCATGGCGATGAGCCAGATGTCGGTGGTCACCGCATACACCACGGGCGCATGCAGCAGCGGCGGCACAAACACATGGCGCACGGCACTGTCCACCAGCACTGCCACGTGCGCCAGGAACGCCTGTAGGAGGTAGCAGGGGTGGGGAAGGGCACGAAAGGGAGAGGGTAGGGGGAGGGAAGGGGAGGGTAGGGGAGGGTAGGGGAGGGGCAGGGGAGGGGCAGAGGAGGGGCAGGGGAGGGGCAGGGGAGGGGATAGCGGACGTGAGTGCAGCAGTGGGTGGCGTGTGCGCATGGTGGCAATGGTGCCGCCGTCCCCATGGGCGGCTGCAGCACGACTAGGGGACGGTCAGCTGCGCCATGGTGGGGGTGGTCTAGTTTAGCAGGGGGGGCAGTGCAGCACATGCATGCAGGGCGGAGGAGGAGACGCGTGCAGCGATGGCAGGCAGCTGTGACAAGAGGACAAGGCATGAGAGAGCAGCATGAACCATATGCGCTCCCCCATCTCACACATGCATGCGTGCTCGCCCATCCCCCATCTACTCTCACCCCGTGCAGCAGCTCCTTGCTGTACTGCTCTGCCCGCAGGTACGCGGCGGGTGTGACGCCCCCCTGCCCCTCCCACGCCGGCCCGTAGCTCACCGGCCCCGCCGTCAGGTCCACCCACACGTAGCGCTGCTCACAGAAGAGAGAGGAGGGGGGAGGGGGGTGGAGGAGCGGCGTGCAAGGGGAGGGAGAGAAAGGAAGGGGGAGAGGGGTCCATGAGCGGCGACACAAGGGAGCGCTGGTGACGGGTGATGGGGACAAAAAAAACGGAAGGGGCACATTTGATGGAGGGCGAGGCAGCAGCGATTGCCGCGTGCATGGGGGGTGGTGGTGTGAGGGGAGTAGGGAGGGGCGGGGGCAGGTGGCAATGGACGCAGGCACAGGGCGCAGCACGTATGAGCGCAGCAGGTGACCTCATCATGGAAGGTGGTGCCCGGGCACACGGTGTCGGCCCGGCTGCCATACGAGTACGCGTAGCGCCGCGGCATCACCCGCGGGTTCAGCACGTACACCGCGTAGCCCCCTCCCGCCCCGCTGCCCTCCCCTGCAGAAGCAGCACCGGGGGGGGAGGGCGTGGCGGCGTCGGTGCGCACGTGGGTGTCCACCAGCGCGTGCGGCAGCAGCACCACTCCGCCCTCAGCCACCCGCCCCATGGCCTGCCATGCGCACACGGGGGGAGATGCGAGTGGCGGGGTGAAAGGCGGAAACGCCCCTTGCTTGGGGTGCAGTGCGAGTGGTAGCACCCCAAGCATGAGATACGAGAGGCATCAGAGAGTGCAAGGCGCATGGAGGGGCGACACATGGCATGGAGGGGCGACACATGGCATGGAGGGGCGACACATGGCATGGAGGGGCGACACATGGCACGGGTGGCATGGGTGGTGCGGCGTGTCACGGGTGAAACCACAGGAAGCGCACACTCTTGCGTGCCCTACTCCCTCACCACCTTGACCAACCCCTCCGTGGGACCAACCAAGCTCCACTTGTTACTGACTGCCGCAATCGCGCGGCCCACGAATCCATAGAGCCTCCTTTCTTCCAACTCAGGTGGCCTTCCTGCACGCCCACCCCTCCATGTGAGTGCGGGTGCGTGCGAGTGGGGGTGCGTGCGAGTGGGGTATGTGTGAGTGCGCGTGACAGTGAGAGCCTCACTCACGCGCCCAACGAAGCGGAAGATGTCAGCCGAGATGGCGGACGCCAGGCGCCTGGGAGCGCGCGACACTGAGAACGCCACGCGCTGCCGCACTGCCAGCGCGTGTGACTGGCGGGAGCCGGGAGGGGAGGAGGGGGGAGATGGAGGGGGATGGAAGAACAATGGAGAAGGACAAGGAACTGGGTGAGAACAATGGGGAAGTTTGGTAGGAAAAACGGTGGCAGAAAGGGTGGGTAGGAGGGAGGGAGGAGAGGGATAAGGAGTGCAGACAGCGACAGCGAGAGGGTGCAAGGCATGGTGGGGCAGAGAGGGCGCAAGGCATGGTGGGGCAGAGAGGGCGCAAGGCATGATGGGGCAGAGAGGGCGCAAGGCATGATGGGGCAGAGAGGGCGCAAGGCATGATGGGGCAGAGAGGGCGCAAGGCATGGTGGGGCAGAGAGGGCGCAAGGCATGATGGGGCAGAGAGGGCGCAAGGCATGATGGGGCAGAGAGGGCGCAAGGCATGATGGGGCAGAGAGGGCGCAAGGCATGATGGGGCAGAGAGGGCGCAAGGCATGATGGGGCAGAGAGGGCGCAAGGCATGATGGGGCAGAGAGGGCGCAAGGCATGATGGGGCAGAGAGGGCGCAAGGCATGATGGGGCAGAGAGGGCGCAAGGCATGATGGGGCAGAGAGGGCGCAAGGCATGATGGGGCAGAGAGGGCGCAAGGCATGATGGGGCAGAGAGGGCGCAAGGCATGATGGGGCAGAGAGGGCGCAAGGCATGATGGGGCAGAGAGGGCGCAAGGCATGATGGGGCAGAGAGGGCGCAAGGCATGATGGGGCAGAGAGGGCGCAAGGCATGATGGGGCAGAGAGGGCGCAAGGCATGATGGGGCAGAGAGGGCGCAAGGCATGATGGGGCAGAGAGGGCGCAAGGCATGATGGGGCAGAGAGGGCGCAAGGCATGATGGGGCAGAGAGGGCGCAAGGCATGATGGGGCAGAGAGGGCGCAAGGCATGATGGGGCAGAGAGGGCGCAAGGCATGATGGGGCAGAGAGGGCGCAAGGCATGATGGGGCAGAGAGGGCGCAAGGCATGATGGGGCAGAGAGGGCGCAAGGCATGATGGGGCAGAGAGGGCGCAAGGCATGATGGGGCAGAGAGGGCGCAAGGCATGATGGGGCAGAGAGGGCGCAAGGCATGATGGGGCAGAGAGGGCGCAAGGCATGATGGGGCAGAGAGGGCGCAAGGCATGATGGGGCAGAGAGGGCGCAAGGCATGATGGGGCAGAGAGGGCGCAAGGCATGATGGGGCAGAGAGGGCGCAAGGCATGATGGGGCAGAGAGGGCGCAAGGCATGATGGGGCAGAGAGGGCGCAAGGCATGATGGGGCAGAGAGGGCGCAAGGCATGATGGGGCAGAGAGGGCGCAAGGCATGATGGGGCAGAGAGGGCGCAAGGCATGATGGGGCAGAGAGGGCGCAAGGCATGATGGGGCAGAGAGGGCGCAAGGCATGATGGGGCAGAGAGGGCGCAAGGCATGATGGGGCAGAGAGGGCGCAAGGCATGATGGGGCAGAGAGGGCGCAAGGCATGATGGGGCAGAGAGGGCGCAAGGCATGATGGGGCAGAGAGGGCGCAAGGCATGATGGGGCAGAGAGGGCGCAAGGCATGATGGGGCAGAGAGGGCGCAAGGCATGATGGGGCAGAGAGGGCGCAAGGCATGATGGGGCAGAGAGGGTGGCGGGTGGTGGAAAGGCAGGAGGCGCATGTAGCTGTGGAAGTGAGGGGAGAGGGTGGACGGCGAGAGGCAGAACGGGCAGAGGTGGCCGGGTTCGATGCATGCACATGTGAATGGCATACCTCGCCGTGAATGCCATACCTCGCCGTGAATGGCTCGGAAGACGGTGTCTGGCTTGAGCGTGTTGAGGAACTTGCTCATCTCCTCCTGGCGCATGCACACACACACTCGCACTCACATTCCCCCACACACCAATCACCCCCCACACACAAATCAATCGCACCCCCAACACAGCAATCCCACAACCCGCGCCGCACTCCTCACACCAGTTGCCCCCCATGGCATGGTATGGCAGCAGAAGCAGGGAGAGGGAGAGTGCAGGTGAGGAAGATGGCGGCATGGACGGCACGAGTGGTGGGAGAACGCACAGCGGACATGCACGGCTGCCCCGGATGCGCGCGCACACGGGGGTGGGAGTGGCAGCGAGCACACGGGGGTGGGAGTGGCAGCGAGCACACGGGGGTGGGAGTGGCAGCGAGCACACGGGGGTGGGAGTGGCAGCGAGCACACGGGGGTGGGAGTGGCAGCGAGCACACGGGGGTGGGAGTGGCAGCGAGCACACGGGGGTGGGAGTGGCAGCGAGCACACGGGGGTGGGAGTGGGCGAGCACACGGGGGTGGGAGTGGCAGCGAGCACACGGGGGTGGGAGTGGCAGCGAGCGCACGGGGGTGGGAGTGGCAGCGAGCACACGGGGGTGGGAGTGGCAGCGAGCACACGGGGGTGGGAGTGGCAGCGAGCACACGGGGGTGGGAGCACGGCGCAGGAGCCCTGCACTTGGTCTTTTTCCTTGCGCTTTCCCGCCATCCCCAACAAGCCCCTCGCCTCCTCCACAGCCTCACAGCGCCCCCTACACCCCCTGACTCACCGGGGAGACGCGGAGCTCACCGCCCCGCCTGCCTCACCGGGGAGACGCGGAGCTCACCGCCCCGCCTGCCTCACCGGCTGCACGCGGAGGTTGCTGTTGTCGTCGCGGTCGCCGTCGAAGCCCACGAGCCGCACGTGCACGCGCGTCACCACCTCCACCTCCGCCAGCCGCCGCATCTTCGCCGCCAGCCCCGCGTCCTCCGCCGCGCCCTGCGCCCACCGCCGCTTGTCCGCCTCCGCCAGGCGCGCGAACGAGTCGTCGTCCGCCAGCGGATCCTCCGCCAGCCCGTTCAGGCGCGCCGCTGCTGCCCCTCCGCTGCCGTGGGAGGCAGCGGTGGAGTGCGGGAGGGGGAGGAGGAGCAGGAGGAGGAAGAGGAGCGGCATTGCGATGCCGCAGGTCGGCACAGGCTCGCAGCGAGAATGGGCGAACGGGGGGCAGCGAGCGACGGCGACGCGACGTGAGCTCGTGGCGGCGTGGTGAGCGATAATGATGGCAGGATCGCTGGTTGCAATGGGATCGGATGATCGCCAGAAAATGGTGCGTGTTCGTTCGGAGCAAGTTGGTGATGTACGGTATGGTATCTTCCACCGTAAACAAGTCGATCTCAAACGTACGGTATGATTACAATCAGGGCGGGTCCAGCGCGTACGTTTTCCGTACATTACAGTTCATCCAGTGCGGTAATCTGTATTGCGTCACGGTTCAAAACGGTGCCATTTCAAAACCGCTGTGCACCGCCTGATATCTTTTCAAACCACGATTTCCACGGTAAGTTTTTGTACCTACCCTGATTTTTCATGTCAGATTTATATGACATAGCTACTGTAGGCTATAGTGGGGTAGCACATATGGGGTACAGTTTTCTAGGGTTCACATTTGTACCCAACTTTCCCTTAGTCAATTCATTCCTCGTTTCTTCTCATGGTATCGAGCAGGTTCCCTAGTGGGAACGATTCCTAGGGCCCACCACCACGAAATTTTTTTCCTGCCCGGAGCGCGCTTCGCTCCGGCCCGAGTCGCGCCCTGTGTGCTCTCCCTACCGTCGCGCCCTCGCTAGGCCCCTCACGGCCCCGTCGCGTCGCCCTTAGCGGCCCTCTCACGGCTCCCTAGCGCCGCCCTTACGGCTCGTCGCGCCGCCCTTACGGCCCGTCGCGCCGCCCTTACGGCCCGTCGCGCCCGTCGCGCCGCCCTCACGGCCCCTCGTACCGCCCTTACGGCCCCTCGTGCCGCCCTTACGGCCCCTCGCGCCGCCCTTACGACCCCTTACGGCCCCTTACGGCCCCTCACGCTACCCTTACGGGCCCTCCCGCGGCCCCTTCGGCCCCTCCCGCCGCCAGTCGGCCCCCCTTACGGCCCCCTCGCGGCCCCTCGAGCCGCCTTCCGCGGCCTCCTCACGGCCCGTCGCCGCCCTCGACGGCCCCTCGTGGCGCCCTTCACGGCCTCTCCGCCGCTCTTCGCGGCCCCTAGCGGCCGGCAGCCGCCGTCCCTGAGGCAGCAGCCGCAGCCGTCTCTGCAGCAGCAGTCGCCACAGCTTCTGCGACTGCTGCCGCGACCGGCCGCCGAGCCGCCCAGCAGCCGAGCACCCGAGCCGCCGAGCCGCCCAGCAGCCGAGCACCCGAGCCTCCGAGCCGCCCTGCAGCCGAGCAGCCGAGCCGCCGAGCCGCCGAGCCGCCCAGCAGCCGACCGCCGAGCCGCCCGGGCCGCCGAGTCGCCGAGCCGCCCGAGCCGCCCGAGCCGCCGAGCCGCCGAGCCGCCCGAGCCGCCGAGTCGTCGACCCGCCGTCCTGCCGAGCCGCCGAGCCGCCGAGCCGCCCGAGCCGCCCTGTCCGGTAAGAGCAGCGCCTCTATCACTGCACTGCCCTTACCCTACTGTTCGCACTGCTAGTCTACTGCTGTCATGGCTACCCCTAGTGTCCTCGCCTTTGACGCTGAGGGTCGGGCCATTGACTTTGACGTCTGGGTAGATGACCTGCAGCTTTTCTTACAGTGCGATAGGGCAGACGGTCTCTCCCTCTTTGACCTCACCTCTGGTGCCTCTCCTGCCCCTGCTGCTGATGCCGACGCCACTGTTCGCTCACAGTGGGCCACACGCGATGCTGCTGCACGTCTAGCTGTGCGTCGCCACCTGCCTACCTCTGAGCGTGCGCACTTTAGCCAGTACAAGAGTGCTCACACCTTGTACGACGCTGTAGTTGCGCGCTACTCCTCCCCTGCCACTGCTGCACTGAGCCGCCTCATGCTACCGTACCTCTTCCCTGACCTTGCTGCCTTTCCCACAGTCGCTGACCTCATTACGCACCTCCGCACTAGTGACACTCGCTACCGCGCTGCGCTTCCTGCTGAGTTCTGCGCCAAGAACCCCCCCCCCATGTACATCACCCTCTACTACATAGTCACCCGGCTCCCTGACTCCCTTCGCGTAGTCAGGGACCACTTCCTCTCAGTTTGCCCCACCACTCTCACCGTTGACCTCCTCGAGAAGGCCCTCCTAGCAGCAGAGAAGAGCATAGTCGCTGTAGGAGCCTCTCGTGGTGACCCTCGCACCCCCGTCTTTGAGGGGTGTTCCCCCTCCCCCCTTTTGCCCTCTGTTGCCTCTGCTGCTGCGGCCGACCTCGTTGGTCTCGAGTCGGTCGGCGCTGCGTCTGCCCCGAGCGGGAGACGCCGCACCGGCAAGGGCAAGGGGGGCAAGGGCGCTGGAGGGGCTGGCGGGGGTGGCGGAGGTGGCGGTGGCGGCAGTGGAGGGGGTGGGGGTGGTGGTGGGAGTGGTGGCGGGGGTGGAGGTGTCGGTGGCGGCAGTGGAGGCGGAGGCGGCGGCGGCGGTGGCGGTGGGAGCGGAGGTGGCGGAGGTGGCGGCGGTGGAGGAGGCGGCGGCGGAGGAGGGGGAGCTGGTCGGGGTGGCGCTGGGCAGAGGGTCGGCTCCGGTGGTGGTCAGCGCCAGCAGCAGCAGCAGCAGCGGCAGCAGCGCACTCGTGACATCCCCCCCCTCAGCAGCTCCGTGAGTGGTATGCTGCACGCCAGCGGGGTGGGGGTACTGGTCCGTGCACCTACGTCCTACGCACCGGCGACCGCGCGGGTGAGCAGTGCGGGGGTGCGCACTCCACCCAGCGCTGCTTTGGCCGCCTGACGGACGCTTGGTGTCACCAGTTCCCTGAGGCCACTGAGATCCCCCGCTGGGGCGAGCTGTCTAGGGCGGGTGTAGCTGTCTTTGACCTTGACTTTGATGCTATTCTTGCTGCCATGTATGCTGTGACTATTAGTGATGAGGGTGACTGTTACCGGTGTTTTCCGCCCGACCCGGGCATTGAGACTGCTGCTCTAGGTACTGGTGAGGCTGCTGCTCTAGGTGCTAGCGAGGCTGCTGCTCTAGGTGCTCGCGCGTCTGCTCCCTCAGGTGCTGGTGAGTCTGCTCTCTCAGGTACTGCGTCGGCTTCGGCCTCCCACACCTTCACCCTTGACTCGGGGGCTTCTCGCTCCTTCTTTCGAGACCGCACCACACTCACGCCGCTTGGCCGGCCAGTTGCAGTCTCTCTGGCAGACCCCTCTGGGGGTCCTGTCCTTGCTCACTTCTCCACTGTCCTCCCGTGTCCGACGGCCCCCTCTGGCACCCTGTCTGGTCTTTACCTCCCCTCGTTCTCTACGAACTTGGTGAGTGGTGCTGACCTCCAGGATGCGGGGGTTCACCAGTTCACTCCTGCGAGTCAGCGGGTGACCCACTGCACGGACGCTCGGACAGGCCGACACCTGGCCACGTTTACACGTCGGCCGGGGTCGAGCCTGTACACACTGACCACTGCGTCTCCTCCAGTCACTGCGTCTGGTCAGGTAGCTGCGTCGGGTCAGGTGTTTGCTGCAGCGTCCAGGTCTGGTCCTGAGTCTGCCCCCTGTTCGTGTCGCCTCCTGTCGCACGAGACTCTCCTCTGGCACCACCGCCTTGGTCACCCCTCCCTGCTTCGTCTCCGAGGCATGGCCTCCCGTGTCCTTGTCTCTGGTCTTCCCCGGTCCCTCCCTCCCCTTCCTCCGGGGCCCGGCCCTACCTGCGTCCCTTGTGTCGAGGGGCGGCAGCGGGCTGCCCCTCACTCCTCCCAGTTTCCTCCGACAGAGGCCCCGCTGCAGACGCTTCACATGGACGTGTGGGGCCCGGCCCGCGTCCGTGGACAGGGTCACGAGCGCTACTTCCTGCTGGTGGTTGACGACTACTCGCGTTACACCACAGTCTTCCCCTTGCGCAGCAAGGGTGATGTCACTGCGGTGTTGATCGACTGGATCCGCGCAGCTCGTCTCCAGCTCAGGCAGAGCTTCGGCTCGGACTTTCCTGTTCTGCGTCTGCACTCTGACAGAGGTGGAGAGTTCTCCTCTGGCCTTCTGCGAGCCTACTGTCGTGCACGAGGCATCCGCCAGCCCTTCACGCTTTCGGACTCTCCACAGCAAAATGGGATTGCTGAGCGCCGCATTGGCATGGTCATGGACGTCGCCCGTACGTCCATGATGCATGCGGCTGCCCCCCATTTTCTGTGGCCGTTTGCGGTTCGGTATGTGGCGCATCAGATCAACCTTCACCCCAGGGTCTCCATGCCGGAGACCTCCCCAGCTTTGCTGTGGACGGGGAAGGTTGGCGATGCGTCTGCGTTCCGTGTCTGGGGATCTCGGGCGTTTGTCCGCGACTTGTCTGCGGACAAGCTGTCCCCTCGTGCTGCTCCTTGCGTCTTCCTTGGCTTCCCCCCTGACGCGCCAGGGTGGCAGTTCTACCACCCCACCTCTCGCCGTGTTCTGTCCTCCCAGGACGTCACGTTTGACGAGTCGGTCCCCTACTACCGCCTCTTCCCCTACCGCACTCCGTCCCTCCCCCCGCCACCGCTCTTCCTTGTGCCAGGCCCCCCCCCGGTAGACCCCCTCCCCCCTCAGGGTCCTGCCCCTTCAGGTGTGTCTCAGGTAGACGCCGTTGAGCCTGTCGAGGTTTCTGGTGACTCTGGTGCTGGTGAGGGTGCTGAGCCTGGGGGTGCTGACTCTGGGGGTGCTGAGCGTGTGGGTGCTACGCCTGGGGGTGCTGAGCCTGAGGGTGCTACTCCTGGGGGTGCTGAGCCTGGGGGTGCTGAGCCTTGGGGTGCTGAGCCTAGGGGTGCTGAGCCTGGGGGTGCTGAGCCTTGGGGTGCTGAGCCTGGGGGTGCAGAGCCTGGGGGTGCTGAGCCTGGGGGTGCTACGCCCGGAGGTGCTGAGCCTGGGGGTGCGGAGCCTGAGGGAGCTGGGCCTGCTCGTGTGGCGTCTGGCGGTGCTGAGCCTGGAGGTTCTCCGGGTGCTTCGTCTCGGCGGGAGCCACTCTCTCCACAGGAGCTGCGAGAGTGGTTTGCCCGGCGCTGGAGGCGTGCTGCTGGAGCTGGAGGTTCTTC